GGGCTTAGGGTTTGGGGGCTTAGGGTTTAGGGCTTATAGGGCCTAGGGCTTTCTAGTTTGGGGTTTAGGGTTTAGGGCTTACGGCTTTGGGGTTTAATTTAGGGTTTAGGGTTTTAAGGCTTAGGGTGTAGGGTTCACGGTGTAAGGTTTAGGTTTCTAGGATGGGGTTTCTGAGGGTTTTATCAAGGGTTGTATAAGAGTCGTATTGAGGGTTCTAAGGCGGTGTTTATCTGGCTTCAAAAATGTGATATAACGGTGTTGCAAGGATTTTGTAGGGTCTTGGCAAGGTTTTAGTCGCAAAGGTTTATGAGGTCTTTACCGCGGTTGCTAAGATAGTTTGCTTTGGAAATCCCGCGTATGACCCCTACAATGGGCAACATCGCCACTGAATCCCCGGTTACTACAGCCCCTGTTCACCATTTTGATGATACAACGCCTGATCTGAACGAATCTTTTAGAACATCAGAACCACGGGGATTGCTGTGAATAAGAATGGCCGGCCACACAGACATTATGAAAAGAACCCATTCCAAGAACTTGCCAGAAATCGAAACCCGCATTCCTAAGCCTAAGCGCTGATGGCCTGAAACGTAAGCCCTCGACCCGAAACCCAAAACTAAAACCACCAATCCTAAATGCGCAAAAGCTGAAACCCTAGCGCTGACCTTAAACCCGTCAGCAGAGAACACCCTCAACCCTCAGCCACCCTAGCCCTGGCACCCCAAACCCCCCGATATCGGGGTTTGAACGAACAGAATAAGGCTTCAGTAAGGAAATAGCTTGGCAGTTGCCCCCTGGATTAGGGTGGTTCTCTAAATCAGGATCCCGCGACAGGCTCCCAAAATAAAACGGCACCCTTATCGGGATCCTAAAAGGGACTCAAATTTGAAAAACTACCCATTATGCCCCATAAGCCCGTAAGCCGCCCGAAGCGATGGCTCTCCTGGCTAGCGAAAAGCAGAGAGAACTTGACACCGTCGTAGTCCTCCTCCTGCCCCCAGAGCGATGTGGTTAGGGTTTAGGATTAGGGTTTTGGTTCAGGCTAATAGGCGTTAGGGTTTGGGGTGCCGGGCATCGGGCTATAAGAGCTGACAACAGTGCAGGCGGAGGAACCCATGATTGGAAGCAGAATCGTTCTGTCTCAGGACATGCCAAACCATAATGTGTAGGCTGGGGGACTGCGTCTTTAGGGAGGGTTTGGAGGTTTGAACAGCCCTGGAAAGACAAACCCGAAGCCCTAAATTCCAAACTGCAAAACCTGCATAGACCCTAAACCCTGAACCTGCAAAAGTCTCGAAACCTTAAGCCCTGAACCCAAATCCAAAACCCTACACGCCAAACTCGAAACCCCAAACCCCAAACCCAAAACTCATGGTATCTTCAGCTCCTGCTCTTCCTGCTCGGGCTCGCTCTCTGCAGCCACGCTCGTTTTCACCTCAAGCCAAGGCAGAGGCGCCCTAGAGCCTTCGGGGACTGTCGAGCTTAGGGCTTAGGGTTGGGGTCTTTAAGTTAAGACTTGAGGTTATAGGGTTTAGGACGTAGGGCTCAGGTGGGGCTTCAGAGGCTTAGGGTTTGAGACTTCAGGTTTAAGGTTTGAGGTTATAGGGTTTAGGACGTAAGGCCGGGGGCTCAGGACTTCGGGTTGAAGGTCTTCGGGTTGAGGATTTAGGGCTTAGGGCTTTATGTATTGGGCTTAGTGTTCAGGGGTTTCAAGTTTGAAATGGTAGAGTTTACGATCCAGGGCTTAGGGCCTACCCATGCAGTTGCCGAAGGAAATTAGAGGAAGGATCATGATACATTGAGAATTTTCTGTCCGCCGAACACGCAGCCCACTGTGAACAGCAACGTGCGGCATGAAGTACAGCTTCACTGGCACTCTAGTTGAAAGCAACCACAGCTCGAAAAGAATTGGGGGGCCTCCTCTTCGTCGTCCTCCTCCACATCCGTCTTCTCCATGGGTGGATCCTCCTCTGCCACCTCTGCCACCTCTGCCTCCTCCGCCTGGCCAGGCTGCCACCCGGCACAGCTAGGGAAGAACGCTCTTCAACGACACCGGTGGCAATCTTGCGACATAGGGCTTCTATGGTTGTACGAAGAGCTGTTGGTTCTGAGCTGAGTGCGGAATGCGTCCTAGGCATCTCTGAACCCCAAACCCCTAAACCCCCAACCCGAAGCACTGAAAACCTGAAACCCTAAATCCCAAAGCCCTAAACCCCAAACCCCTAAACCCCCAGCCCGAAGCCCTGAAAACCCCCAAAAAACCTGGTGCCTTCTTCTCTTCTTCTTCGGGCTCGGCCGCCGTCTCGGCCTTCTTCTCGGGCTCCTTTGCACGCGGGGAGCCCAATAGCCCCTTAGGGTTTAGGGTTATAAGGAATGTACCTGAAATTCTCAGGTCTTATCCGGTTTTACCGGGTTTTCTATCCCCTGTAAGGAGTTCCTTGCAGAGGCTTTCAGACATCTTCCGACTGGGGTTGGAGGGAGTAAGGATTTATGAAGTAGGAGTCTGGGAATTAAGGAGTTGCGCTTGTGATTTCGGAGAAAGTTTAGGGTGTCTTCAAGTTTTGAAGTCTCGGGGTTTCCGGAGATGGACCCTTCTAAACCCACATTAAGGCCCTTAAACGAACCCCAAACCTCATCACCAAGTTTTAGCGCTCGCAGAGACCGGCTCCAGCACTGAAAAGCAACTGCGACGGACCGGATTGCATTTAAACCCTATTCCCTACCCCTTAAACCCTAAACCCTA